ATTTATTTCAAACAGTTTCTTTAGGCGTCGTCCTGACGTTGCCGTCTTACATTCGTAAACTCCCTAATTAGTCGGACTGTGACAGACAGAGAGACATCTATAGTACTGTGAGATAAGAATATACTAGCTCGTGCGCTATCTATATCCTAGTAATTGTTATGATCTTTTAATTCTGTTATATTCTTTAGTAAGTTTATTGATTTATGTCATCGCGCTGTGAAGTCACAGCGGGATGGAAAAAAGAGTAACATTTTAATTTAATTGATGCAGAATGAATTGTAAGAAACTTAAACACAGCAAATAATGCCAGCGTGCCATTTAATTCTTATTGTCTTCACCGGAGAAAGACCGTGTTCGGGGTTTTCAGTAGGATATAGTTTCAACGGAGGAAGAAAGAATCAGTGTTTTCATAAGGAGATAGTTTCAATAATTTGTCCAGGATTGAATCATCTCCAGGCAGCAAACGTCTTCGTCTAATACAAGGTAAAATCTTAAATATATAGAACTATAATATACTGGACTAATACACCGCTCTGACTATATGAGAAATTACTTGTATCTTGTCCGTGTGTCTAATTTAATTTTGAATGCGCATATAAATCGCGATATCAAATTATTATGAATTCAGTAACTATATAACTTTGTGTTAAAACACAAACGGGACAATATTTTAGAAATTCATGTCTTGTTATATTAGTCAATTGATGATCATGTGGACACTCTAAAATGTCTGATCTCAAAGTCTGCTCTATACCTCGCTTCCATTTCCAAGTCTGCAATGTTTGTAGCATGTATTTATAACCAGTACCTGCCTTTGATTCAAATTTAATTCTTATATATAGTTTCAAACTCACCGATTCCAAATAATTTCTCAATTAAGACTGGCATTTGTCCCATAATGTCCCATGGTGAGGAGAGAAAAAGTCTTTGTCAAATTGAATTGTTGTTATTACTTTCTGGAGAATTCACAAGGTCAATTATAGGTGTCAAGGAAAACGTACGAAAAGTTTATTTTAAAATATATTTTATATTTTCGTTAATTTGGTAACTGCATATTTGTGTTTTAAAAACTTCACAAATGGGTTAAAACTGCACGTTAGTCGTTAAAATGAACCCTGCAGTTCCCAGCACGAACTCCATGCATATAGCAAGTAATAAACCATAAACATGCATCAATCCATTCATTTATGAATTATGTTAATTTACGAATTACACGTAATACAAACAATGTCAATGATATAGAACACTGATATAGAACATTGATAAAGAGACGATATATGTGCATTTGAATTTGTGTTTGTTATAAAGTGTATATATTTGTTTACCTACCCGTGAGCTATATTGTAAATTGTTTTTGTAATGTACGTTTTATGTTCAATAATAGAAAAACTACGGGTCCGTGTGAACATTTTCCTCCCACAGGGAAAGTTGACAGTGTGGGTTAGGATAAACACAGCTTAAAAAAGTAATCACAATTGTTATAAAGATAAATAGTCTATTTAGGCTATAAGTATAAGTAACATAAGTAGCGTAATACTTGATGTAATCGGTCAATGAAAAGCCCTTGAGCTGAATAATGTATGTATTAGGGCCTGTTCATATGATCCCGCTTACCGGGACGTCTCGCTTACCGATGATCTCGCCGCCTATCTATTTTCCTATAAAATTTTGCATTGTGTTCATATGAGAAAGCGAGCTGGCCCGCTTGTCGAGATCTCGTTTGAATTTGCCGAGATCATAGGTAGGCGGGATGAAAATTTTTCCATATGAACACGCCAGCCCGCTTACCGGGATGAAGTGAAACAAGTCTTGCCGGTTTAATTTAACACTTTTTACTTGGTTTTATGTTTGTTTTGTAAACAAGTATTAAATAACCACCTGAAGCAATACTTTTTCTTGTAAATAAACGAAGAAAAACACTAAAATCGTTAAGTATTTGTGTTGCTTGACTGAAATGTAGAAGTTTTGCATACGCTAATTATAGAACTACAATGTAATTTCATCTCGGCAAGCGGGACGAAATACTCCATATGAACGCACGGAAATATTCGTCTCGGTAAGCGAGACGTCCCGGTAAGCGGGATCATATGAACAGGCCCTTAGTATGTGAGTTTGGCTGCCTATTTATAGTTTATTATTGGATGACGTAACAATGATTGCATCAGTTATGCCTTATGGTGAGAATGTGAGTGGTATAGTCACGAAAAGAGGGAGCAGAAACAAAGCTCCTGTTAAGGCCGTTTTCCACTAGGCGGAATTTTGGGCGCGGAGCGGAATTTTTCTTTGTCTTGTGATTTCTCGGGTGGAACTAACTAGAAAAGACAAAGAAAAATTCCGCTCCGCGCGCAAAATTCCGCCTAGTGGAAAATAGCCTTTAGGAGAGGTAGCAGAAACAAAGCACAATTCATATTATCATATTGCTACCTTAAAAATTCCTAAAAAACCAACTATTAGCAGATTCGTTTATGATTTGTTCAGTACTTGAAACACCCACACCCACTCAAAACATTCAAACCCGGGTGAAATGAGGATGAGAGTGCATGAGAGTTGGCAGCCACTCGACATTGCTGAGCTGTTGTAAGTTAATGTTTCCCAAGACTATCATGTATTCGATTTACTTGATATATACATAAACAAAAATTAAAACGCATAGACTATATTTGGAATTGCACTCATCAAACCTTATAATTTTTGTTAATATATAAAGCTCGTTTAACCGGGGCTTTAACCAGAATAGACAATATATAGTATGAACGACTCTTTCAACAGTCAAAACTCCCTAACAAGGCTGATTTATAGACTATACACAACTTTCGTTTTGCCTTGTGTACATTGACATTCTCGTAGGGAAGTACGTTGAAAGAATGAATTTAGGCAAACGTTGTGTGGTATAAAGGGACCTTAAGAAGATTACATTTCATGCTCAGCAATAATTCATGCTCAGTGGGAAGCTGAATGCTTTCTCGTGCTCATCGGGAATCATTGCTAAAGAACTCATGCCTTAATTATCGGAAAGCAATGCTCAAGAACTCATGCTAAGCGGGAAGCAATGCTCTGCAGCAATGATCAAGAATGACAACAACTCATGCTAAGCGGGAATCAATGCTCAAGAAATCATGCTCAGCGGGAAGCAATGCTCTGCAGCAATGCCCAAGAATGAAAAGAACTCATGCTGAGTGGGCATCAATGCTCAAGAAATCATGCTCAGCGGGAAAGCAATGCTCAAAAACTCGTGCTTATATAAGCATTAGCTCAAAGACAAAGGGAAATCTTGAACTGATACTGAATACTACATATCCTATTGGCTAATAGGACAATGAGAATAAAATACTGTATAATAGAAAAGACACTTAAATGTACGTTTCACACAGAATGTTGCATTATTGGGATTAAACAGTGATTTTGTCCAAAATTTTGTCACAGGACGTTTTTGTAATACAAGGTAAAATCTTACTTTTATAAAAATAAACATCTCTGACCAAACTTATGAGTCTCCTACTATATAGTTATATACTGCTTTGAAATGTATTTGTTGCAAATATGTCTTGTTATATAGTTATTAATAAATAATGAGGCCCACTGTTGTAAAACTGACAAAGAATAATATCAACAATTCCCAATGGCAATACATAATTTAGATTATATAATTTTGTTATTCCTATTTACCCAGCCATGTGACTCTAACTTACCAGATTATGATGTGACTCTTAATTATATTAACAATAATATGAAATATTATTTGACCGCGAGTGTCTAATTTTAAATGTACATATATAAATCGCGATATAAATCATTATGAAGTGAGCAACTATAACTTTTTATTAATAAAAATATAAATGTTTTTCTTTACAAAAAATATAAATACATTAGTGGAAACTCTCAATCTATATAAAAATACTAGAATGTTTGGTCATTTTCATGCAAAACTATAGTTAACTACTAACTAGACAACTAGAAAATAGACACTAAAATGAAAATATATATACTTGTCATTCTATTTTGAACGAATTTAACTTTCCTTCAGCGGTATCCATATTTATAAAGCTAGTGGATATTAGATAACAAAGCGAAAGTAAACGAGAATGAGTGTGAAAGCATTGATGATGTTAATCTATACTATGCATGCAAGTCGTGTGTACTCGTTATGTACTCGTGTATTACTGGTATGCACCCGTGTATAAGTCGTATGCAACTCATGAATGTGGTGTTTTAGTCACGCCCCCTCGCTATCTCCCTTCCGTTTTCAAGCCTGCAATGTTTGTGCCATGTTTTTGTATGAAGTATATGCCGTTGATTCGAATTTAATTTTTAAATAGCTTCCAAACAGATACCAAATAGTTTCTCAGAGAAAATAGCCTGGGTACGAGGTTGAGTATATCCTGGTCCCAAATCCTTAATCTGATCTCACTTATCACCCTAAACCAAGTACATGCAGATTAGTACCTTTATCACAAGCTATTGCTATACTGTATAAGCAGATTCGTTTATGATTTGTTCAGTAATTGAAAGGTTAAACTATAACAGTATAACTCATTCAACGATCAAAACGCCGTAACAAGGCTGGTTTAAGATCTGGTATCGAAACATATAAACATGTACAAAGTGATAACTTAAGAAGATAACGGCAATATAAACCAGATATCAGCGATTAATACATGTCCATCTTTGTATAAACAGATAATTCTGTCGCAGTGATATTTTCTCATATGAAACATGACGTCACATCAAGTCGTTTGGTAATTGTGAAGGCTAAAATAATCATGCTGTGATTGGCTTGCTAAAACAGTGACTCATTCATTTATTGTGTTTCATTGTAATAACCAACCAATCACATAACCTGTTCATATAGTTTTGGGGTGACACAAATCTTTTACAAAAGCTCAACGGGAACTCTGAAATAGCTACGTGCATTATTATTATAATAGAATAATTAGTGTAAAATATATGAGAGAAAAGACAGACAGAATGTTGGGCTTAATTTGCCAACTGTTTGATCGTGGGAAAAACAGAGGAAAACCAACACGACAGAATACTTATAATGGATCAAATGTTTATAACTACATAAGTATGCGTATAAGGGCGAAAAGCCAGAAAGATCAGGAATCTAATAGCGATACATGGGCGATCAGTCATTCTGCTTGTGATGGAATGTGTATTGGGAATGTATACTGCGAAGTTATTATCTTGACATGGGAAACATGAAGGGTATTTCGCGGAAGTCTCGAAATCTATACTTTCATAACAGAAATGATGGTATATACGAGTATACCAACACAATTGATTCCGAAAGCAACACGTATTACGATGTCATCGATATACATGTATAGTATATGTATAATTAGTACCAGGAATTACTATCAAGTTAATATGAAATGACTTGTTCGAAACAATTCATACATTGTAGCTATGTGTGAGAAAGGTATAAACCTTTACAGGGATATACTTAAAAACAGAATGGGAAAAACAATTATACATGTTTTTGCCTGACGCAAGAATTGAAAGGTTTTAGGTGCGGGCATTGTTTAAAGTGAATTACATGTATGTCTCACCTAAACTATAAATGGTACATATTTATGTCGGGGATAAAGAGGATAATTAAGTATAAAACAACTGATACACAATTGACCCAAAAAATCAAAAAGTGTCTGCAAATATCGATCTTCGACACGCATGCGTATACCTTGTCTGCATTGGCATTGCAGAATCCAGCGTATTTGTAGAAAAAAGTAAGTATATTGTTTCTCGTTTAATTTGTAAACTAACAACTAAATTATTGAGTATGGTTATAGCTTTTGACTAATTAGGACATATAAAAACATTCATATGTCCTTAAATATAGATATATTTTAGTCTATACCATGCGAAATATAGTGAAAGGTAAAGTTTTATATTTCTACTGCAATGCGTGTTTTGACATCGGTGTCATACGGTAGTTCTCAAATCTCTAGTTTCGTTAGAAGACTTAGAAGGTGAGATTTTCACTGCACAACGTACTTATCAGATCACGATATATAGAAGGGGCGAGTGAATTTAACAAGTCACATATTATCAGCACTGATGAAGATTTGGGCTTACGGATCGAAAGCTTTGCATAAATTTACGTGGTGTTTCTACAAACAGAAAGTATTATAGCGTACTTATTCTTCTAAAAATTTAAGTTGGAATAAAAACATTTTGTTTCAAGGTTTCAAATACAAAATTTTATAGTATATGACCGTGCTTGACTGTAATAAAACCCTGCTTAATTCAGTGGATTGTAATAAGACCCTGCTTCAGTGGATTGTGAAAGATACAAAATAACAACAAAGTACAAAGAAAATTTGGCTCACATTGCTTTACTCAAAGATAACTGCATTTCATTAATCAAGTTTAGGGGTATATTATGACCTAGAACTACATTAGCTACCTTGTACTAAGTAGTGAGATCAAAAGATTCTGTGATGGCAACTGGACAATTGATACACCTAATCTCCTAGTTCAGTGCGCTTTGCAGTTTCACATGGAGCCTCATCTGTTGGAAGAGAAAATTTAGACCGAAAGTATAAAAGTCTTCAAAGTTTTCTTCACTCAGCCTGGGAGAGTGCTGGTTAAATCAGCCAAAATTCCTGATTAGAACTGTACGAGTTTGACGTACAGATTTAAAATGATTTTATTTTTGCGTTCCCAGATCACAAAGATATGGATAAAGGAGGTGAAAGTCCTACGCCAAGCAAGCAAGATTCTGATGATACAAATGAAGAGGACATTGTGGAAAGTGATGAAAGAACACAACAGCAAGGAGAGAGACAAATGATAACAACGTCACCCCAGGCTAGTGAAAATCCAGTTACGGCGCATGACCCTGGGAGTGACCGTAGGCCTCCAATACAGGAGACTGGTGATGGTCAAGCCATGGATTATGGTTCAGGTGCCGATCCTGATTTGGAAGAAGAATTAGGAGGAATGATTATTGGGCAGAGTGATGGCAATGGTCAGGTGGAGATCTTGGTGATGTCAGTTGAGACCTCTCCAGCCATTGTAAATGGACTTTGAAGTTTTTCTAACTATGATTTAAAGAAACGCTGGCGGCTCGTCCAATTTGGCAAAATTTCCAAACATCACAAGTACTATTAATCCCTAATTGTACAAGCAACTTAATTCGCATTACTTGTTTATTATTAGCATGACAAAATTAGAGAATTCTCAATGTCAACACCATAAAAGCCCAGTCCTGGCAGACTTTCAACCAAAATTTGGTGCCTTTGTTCGTATTTTCATTTAGTTATTTTGCTTTACTGTAAGTTCCTCTAGGGCAATTTCATTTGTGTTTAAATACGTTTCCGTCATTTTGTTTGTTTTGGGAAAATTTATTAATTGTACTGCAGTACAATTAATGAAATAATTGTACTCCTCCCAACCAATCAGCATCCAGTAATTTTGTCATGCAAATATAATAAGTATATTTAATAATAATGAAATATTCCATGTAAGTATGCAGCAAAAAAGCAAGATGTTTTATCATGACACGTGTTCAGCTATGCAGTAAGGAAGTTAAGGCTGATGAACTTTTATGAAACATTTCTTGTTCGGACACACGTAAAGTAATTCGACAATAGTTGTAAATATTGTTTTGGTATAAAATTTGTACTAAAATATGTATATATCAAAAAGGCAAGATACACATTTGTCTTTGTTGTTGTGAGGGCTATAATGCTTTTTAATTCTGATACTGTACTTAGACAGTGGCAGACCCCATATGGATGGACGGATGGATGGATGGATGGATGGACGGATGGATCAACTTTATTTAAAACAGACTAATCTTTTCCACTAATGCTGGTTTCCAAAAGAGGTGTGTGCTGCTATGATTTACAAAATAGAATAAATCCCCCCCTCCATTAATTACCTATGATGTATGTTCATTACTGATTTCATAAATTATATAAATATTATGAATTTGTTGACTACAGTAATAGTACTATAAATTAGTAAAAAATCTAAGAATATTACTACTATTATTAAAGCATGATGATTGCTAAATGAAAAGGTTGAAAGGCAATGAATGGTGGATGAATTGCAACAGTAAGTACCAAAACTGCTACAACAATTTTCCAACCATGAAAGAAAGCATTTTGGCAGGTACAGCAGCAAAACAATGGTAATATTATTTAGATGTATGTCTGGCTGTTGTTTTATGTGCTGAACACTGAAACGTTCAGTAACATCTTAAAAAGTGCATGACATCATCATCTGGTCTGTCCTTTTGGAGTATGTTACGAATGAGCCGATCAAAAAATCAAATTTACCGATCCGATAAATTCCGATCCAATTTACCATCCGATCGACCGTTACCGACATTTCCTAACAGGAATTTCCAACACTCGAAATACTATAGATTTCCCTCATTACGTTTTCGTAGCGCTTTGCATTATGGTTATAGTGGTATCACTGATATTCAAGATGGCTTATTTTTTTGTCCTGACCCGTGCAAGAACTTTTAAAAAAAGCTAGGGTCAAGTGCGCGATAGCCAACAGCGAATATTCACGAAAACATTCAATATTTCCATTCGAGGCCAATTTATCAGTGATACCACTATAACCACAATGCAAAGAGCTACGAAAACGTACTGTAATAAGGGGAATCTCGAATTGGGTCAAAATGCTAGCAAAACATAACAAGAGTTAACAGACCAGTAACAGAAATGTCATTCCGCTAGTCGATGAGTACATTGACCAATTTTATTAATCAATCTATTTAATAATGAGCCATTGCAGAATGATATTTATTGGACCGCCGGTACATGCCGATGTAGACGGCCGATAACCGATCTACCCAAAAGTTTCCGATTACCGGCTTTAACCGATTAATTTCCGATTATCGGCTCATCCCATCCCCAATTAAGGAAATAGAGGTCACATGTAATATTCACGTAATGAAATTAATGCTTGGATTTTCAAACAAATAGGTTACCTATTGTAATAGTATATACGTCAAAAACATAAACACATACCATCAGCGATTTCCCCGTCACTCATTCTCTTTCGTGGGAAAGTGGGGGAATAACTCCTTCTCATTGGATCTGGTATCTGTATTGGAGCACTCTTAGCCAATGAGCTGTCAGTTTTGGCCACAACGCTAAAACTACGAGGTACTTTCCTGCCAGCTTGCGCAGGGACATTCTTCTTTTGTGTGTTTGAGGTAGTGTCTGGCAAATTTCTATACGTACAGAAGCGAAAAGATAGGTAAGACTTAGAGAGACTGGACGACAAAAATAGTTAAAATGTTATCAGGCCATTCCAGAGGCTTTAGATAGTTTCCTAACTAGGGTTTATGTGTAGTAATAGTTCCCTTCAACAACCCCTGGCGGTTGCAGGTTATCTAACTGCGAGAAATGTTATTTCATTTGAGACAAAAGCAAGAATTTCACTTTGGTGGAATTAGGGGAGTGTTCTCCTCCTACACACGTAAAAAAGCACAAGTTGTAACAAAGTTGTAACAAACTTGCAGCAAACGTGTAGCAATGCTGTTCCAACAACTTGTCAACAGGATGTGTTCGCACTGCTTGTGCCCAGCTTGTCAACGGCTTGTTGACAACTTGGTACAAGGTTGTCGAGCTCAACAGACTTGTTACTAGTTGTTCTGGTAACTTGTTATCGTCCAGGGGCCGGTTGTATAAAAAAGTGATTAAAGTTAACTATGGTTAAGAGCAAACGTCATCCAATAAGAAGCGCCTATTTGAGAGTTAATCACTATTTAACTACAAAATAGTGATTAAAAAAGTGATTAAGAGTTTTATACAACCGGCCCCTGCAATTCAACAACTTGTCAACAAGTTGTGTCTGTTGTGAGTGACAACCTTGTAGCAACTTGATAAAATAATAGCCTTGTTGACAACTTGCTACAAGGTTGTCGAGCTCAACAGACTTGTTACAAGTTGTTCCATTGACTAGTTATCGTCCTGCAATTAAACAATTTCTCATCAAGTTGTGAGTGACAACCTTGTAGCAACTTGATAAAATAACAGCGTTGTTACAACTTGTTGACAAGGCTTCTACAAGCCTATTGTGAACACATCTTGTTGACAAGTTGTGAGATGTTTACGTAAAACATCTCAAAAACCCGGTAGTACTGTACTGTAATAGACTAAAATGCCTGTGCTCCTGCAAGGTGTCTACAACTCTCATGATTGGCTTGAGATGATGCCACTCCGACTATATATCCATGCATGCAGATGTTTAATTATTTCATTAATCTGAGTGTCTCAACACCGGGTAAGCTGAAAAGTTGCTTAAGAATAGAACCCGAGACCTTTGATTTGCTATGGATTGAATTCTGAAATACCACCCATGCATTCAAACCGACTTGATCTCGTAGCTCAGTTGATAGAGCGTTGGACTGGCAAGCCGGGTTCGATTCCCAACACGGTTAAGTGACTTTTCAGCACGGGGTAAAGACACTATATATGCGCCAACAACAGCCTAAAAAATTTGCTCGACTTTCATGCCTCGCCTAAAGGAAAACAAGGGCTCTTTGAGAGCTGAGAAGCGAAAATTCAACTTTCGCTGCACAATCATGAGAACAGTTGCATATAAGAGTTAGCACATGAGATTTGGCGCACGAGAATCTATGGGGCAAAAAAAAGGAACTGTTACCTTTAGCAGTACCACTGACCACTGTGGACGGTTTATTGGCATTTGAAAACGAATGAATAGACGATCGGGATCCAAATTGACAAAGAATGGTGATATACTACATTGTTTATAAAGTAATGAATTAAAAAAGTACTTGGATCACTGGTGGCGATTCCCTGCAAAATGGAAGTATCCCATTGATCTATATACAAAACATTAAATGGATGCTTGAAGCGTTCGAACTTTCGCTATTTTTATTACCTTAAAATCTTCGAAACTGCATAAAGTATATATGTGGAATTGTTTGCCTATAATCACACACTTTTCCTTTGGTTGCTTTTTGAAAGAAATTGATCAAGAATTCACTTTGTTTTCGCGAAGTTTCATTTTCAAGGAGCGAAGTCACTTCAACTAGTTCGTCTACGGCCTAGACTCAGACTCATTCTGAGGAGAGCCAAAAACATATTTATGCTCAAGAACACCAGCTGCATTACTATTATAATAACTTTAAAGGGCGATTATAGTATAAAAGAATAGTATTAGAATAGTAGAATAATTTGTTTGCGATGTTACTCTGAGTGCATATCCACACCGGGCGAGCTTGAAAAATATGCCCGGCCACGGTGGGATTCGAACCTACGACCTTTGGAATACTAGCCCAATGCTCTTCCAACCACTTACTCGAACCGTCCTGACCGCGTAGCTCAGTTGGAAGAGCATTGGGCTAGTATTCCAAAGGTCGTAGGTTCGAATCCCACCGTGGCCGGGCATATTTTTCAAGCTCGCCCGGTGTGGATATGCACTCAGAGTAACATCGCAAACATATTATTCACCTGAGTACACAACACCAACACAGAAAAATTCATTAGTAGAATAATTGTCTTCACGCTATATACATGCATTGTTATTTCGTTATATTAACTGTTCAGTCTCAAAAGACAAAAAGAAGAGTGGAAAACAGTTTATATACAATTTAAGCTAGTTTCGTTTGTTGAAGACAAGCGAACAATTATACGTTTCAAAAAAGACAAAAAAAGCTTTTAGTTTTGCAGAGTTACATTCTTAAATGTTTAAGGCACTAATAAAATCAAAGTATCATGAAATTATTTGAATAAACCACACCACATATATAATGCAATTTTCTTTGCGAAGTCAAGAATCAAGATTACATCACTGACACGGAAAGTTGACGATTCAACGGACAATAGTCAATACGCTTCCCAACACATTCCATAGATTTTTTATTAATCCTATAGTTTATTGTTAGCAAGTGATTACTGTGGCGGCTATTGTTAACACTGGTATTGATAAAATTTGCAAGCGATTGTTTTTATAATATGTTATGTGAATGTAAACTGCCAGAAGAATACGACAACATGATTTTATGCGATCTCTGTGATGGTTCCACTTTAGATGTGTAGAATATGACACTAGTCTAAGTACCTCAAATGAGTGGTTATGCAGACTGTGCACACCACCAGCTGCTAAGAAGCCTAAAATGTGTATGTAATTTTGCCTCCTTGTAATAAATAAATAAATCACACAATAAATCTTTTCAACTTGCAATCGTTTTGTTTTTAGATCAAAAATTCAAAATTTATATGGGGGGGGGGGCGAAATTCCTAAAGGGGGCGATATTCCTAGGAGATTCGCCCCCCTTTTGAGAGGGGGGGGCGAATCTCCTGGGGGGCGAAT